GAGAGGGTGGAATTAAATTATGTAATTCCTGCGCACACTCTCCGAAATGCATCCTGTAGAAAACCGAAAGCTACTTTACGTCTGTGTTCGAGACTGGTAAGATTGCTTTTAACCAAATTCGGATTACCAATAAGCCTCTTAGCACGCCTTTCCATTGAGTCTAGAGCTGCTAGGTGGCATTTTGCAGCACGCCATATATGGCAGCAATACTCCATGCACGACCGGACTTATGCTTTATATATAGTAAGCAGCAGTCCCGGCGTGAAATATCGCCGCACCTTTACAAGGACTCCCAGCTTCCTTGCAGCTGCTTTGGCCTTGGACTCAATGAACCGCCCGAAGTTCAAATTTGAGGATATTTCAAACGCTAACAACTGAAGGCGGTCGGTATATTTCAGTGATACGTTTCGGAAAGAAGGAGCCAAGGTGAGCTGGCTCCTTTTTGCATTGAAGAGACACGCTTGTGTTTTGGAGGCGTTGAACTTCACAAGATTGGCATCGCCCCAATCGGAGACTGCCTGTAATGTGAGATTCACACGCTCTACCATAGCTTCTCTTTCGGACTGGATTTGCTCCCGACTGGCCCGAGGACTTGGTTGGTATCTCTCAACAACTGTGCTATCGTACCCATAGGTACCGGGCATAAGCAGATCATTAATATGCAGCAAGAAGAGAGTTGCGGAGAGAACGGACCCCTGAGGAACACCGGCGTTAGTCGCCATAGGACCGGATGAGCAGCCATTGACGACGACCCGGAGAGACCGTTCACTCAGAAAGTCCTTTACCCATTCAATCAGACCAGGGGATAAGCCGTACGCTGGAAGCTTACCCAAAAGGCTAGTGTGCCAAACTCTGTCAAATGCCTTCGAGACATCAAGGGAAACAGCAAGTGCTTCCCCACTGTTCTCGAGTGCCTCGCCCCATACGTGTGTGGCATACGCTAGAAGGTCCCCAGCTGACCGATTTCGGCGAAACTCATATTGCCGGTCACTAAGGAGGTAATTCTGTTCTAGGTATGCCATTAAGCGGGCATTCAATATACGCTCCATAATCTTGCATAGTATGGAGGTAATTGAGATTGGACGATAATTGGCAGGGTCGGCGCGGCTGCCTTTTTTTGGAACAGGCTGCACGTTGGCCAGCTTCCAGGATTTTGGCACCTTTCCAGTACTTATTAGAATATAGTATCCTAGTATTCTAACTAAGATCATCAGCTCATGACTATGTGTCATAAATCTATCTTAATACTAAATCATGATCGTTCTGATTTAAATTAAAAAAGCATGCAAATGTATCCTATGGTATCACGTGAAAGGTATTAAGTATGAAATCACAATAATAATGATCTACAGATCGAATTCCGGTCCTGCGCAAAACCTGATTATATTTAAGTGCACGAGTGTGTGTACAAGAACAGGAGCACTCTCCTTTACCTCACTCTCGTATTCTGACTGGATGGCAATTCGATACTACCGGAGAGAGATCAGTCACAGGATCAACGGCTGTACGTGCTTTCCGACGCACGGGGGTGAAACGCCGTCAACATACTGACTCCGGGCAGCTACTAAGAGTTTCTTAATAGACAAACCCAATAACTGAATTTGGCCAGACCTGGGATTCGAACCTATCACCAAAAAATCAACAGTTACGCTTACGATCACTGAACAAACGAGGCAATCGACCACAAATGCAATCAGTCAGTGGTCAATAGCGTTCGTTCAAATATGGGCTCTATATAAAAACACTAGAAACGATTTTCTCAAAACAGTAATGCAAATTACTGGATAAAGGCTTTTGAAAAAGTGGAGCCATAAAATTATTTTTTTATCTTCGCTCAGTGGATATTTCCGTAGTGCAAAGTAACAAGTTGATATTTATCCGAGGTATTTAAATACAAGATACGAAATAAATTTTAATTTTTTTTTTATAGTTACAAGATGAAAATACTTATTTTGTATCTTGTATCTCTATTACAGATACTTATGTATATCTTATAAGTTACATGTCTCTTTGCTCTTGATTCAATACAACGTGCACTACTTGTTTATGTAAAGTACAATTGCCGGCAACTAACTTGAGCATGCGCGAAAATCTATACTACTTAATACGGTGTCATATGAGGAACGTATGAGATGCGAGGGCACTTATCCGTAAAAATCAGTCGTATTAAGTGCTCAAGTTGTTTGCCGATAATTTACTACGCCGTCGAGCACGTGGTAGACCAGCACTTTAAATTGCAATAATTTCATTGGTACCTGCGGGGGCCCGGGTTGAATGAAATTGCAACGAACAGTTTCATTGAACCTGGGTTGCTCGCGTACTGTGAACTTCCCGGCGAGCGCTGAGCCCCTGAATTACTGCGGTTCAAATTACAATAGTAAAAATAGTAAACATAGGTGAAATAATTTTGTTAATGTTTTTGCATTATCTCACAGTCACTTAATACCATAGAAAACTATGTATTGCTCTCTGTCAAGAGCTTATTACAGTCCGTAAGTATACTCGTAAATATGTATGTAACGCCTTTACTTTTTAAATGATGCCAGTAAAAATCTCACAAAGTTGATAAATATACTGAATTCCATATACTAATTAAATACTTTTTTTTTAAAAAACGTTATCCCCACACTAGGGTTTTCTCCTGTATCGTGGAGGCAGTTTACAAACACAAATTGCACAAGGACATACATCCAGACCCGGAACAATTATTTGTAGGCCATACAAATACTTGTTCCGTGCGGGATTAGAACCCGCTGCCCCCAGCGCAGCAACTCATTGCTAAGCCACTGCGCCACGGAGCCGTCAAATTCAGTATATTTAATCAGTTGGCCTACAAATAATTGTTCCGGGTCTGGTAATTGTCCTTGTGCAATTTGTGTTTGTAAACTGCCTCCACGATACAGGAGAAAATCCTAGTGTGGGGGTAACGTATTTTTTAATAAGATAAAAATATATATACTGAATATTTTTCATTTAAATGTAACGTACACTGTAATATTCACAGTTCTAAAAAATAAAGATATGAATAAGAATATGAGAATTTAGAACTATAGAATATGCTCACCCGCCCGCGTACAGATTAAAAAGTGCATTATAATATTGTATTAATAATGTTCAAATTATATGTATACATGGACTATAGAAGACTCTTACCGATTTTTAAGATACTTGCGAAAATGAGGGGTTGGGTATCTTTTTGGTAAAGCTTTGGGCGCGATATTTCCATTTATATGCCAATGTCGGGGATTTTTATCCTCATACTATAAGGGTGATAAACGAGCACACAGTCCGTCTGATGCACAACTACATCTATACTCGGTTAAGAATCAAAATGCGGAGATACGTTGTCACCCTTGAGGACTAAGATGGAATGCCTCGTTTCCAGTAAAACCGTGTGTAGAAACGTGTAGTTAGTACTGCGTGCTCGTTTGTCATCCTTCATCCATCTTATAAAGAAAGGGTCTCTGTTTCTCTACATTCACCATACGAAACAAAACAGCAACATTTTAATCTGTTATTTTGTGACATTCTCAGGCCGATAAAAAAGTAGCTCTCTCTCTCTCTCTCTCTCTCTCTCTCGCTCTCTCTCTCTCTATCTCTCTCTCTCTCTCTCTCTATCTCTCTCTCTCTCTTTAAACAAAATGACAATAGAAAGAGAAAAATTTAGAGAAATTAATACTTAATTTAAGTAAGCCATAATCAACGATTTTAAGTAAGGCCGTAAGAGATTTACTGTATCTGTCTGTCCTCACACTTAGTCAATGACCCAATTCGCAATTTGTCTGCCTACGAACCAATTGACTCTCGCGCTATATCATTCTTCCGGGTGCTATTGATTTGACCTTTGAAATGAAGTGCTTGCAGTATACAAGCATTACATAGTAAAAAGACTAGAGTAATATGACAAGATGTAGTATAGAAAGTAAAACAAAATCAATAAAACAACCAACTTCCAATAAAAGGATAAGCTACAGAAAGAACATGGATCGTAAAATACATAAAAAAGGCAACAAAAAAACGCGTGAATAAAAATATTACATATGAAATTGCAACTAGCTACGAGCGGCACTGAAAATTTCGGGAATCAAGGAAGTGACACAAAATTACTATTTAAAAATATATTTATTGCTTTTCGAAGTATTCTCCGCGAAATTTGACACATTTTTCTATACGATGGAACCAATCATTGAAGCAACCATTCCATTCGGAAGTTGGGGTCTCCAAAATGGCCGTTTTGTAGGCGTCCACAGCTTCTTCAGGTGATGAAAATCTCTGTCCATGCAATTTATTCTTTATTTTAGGGAAAGTATAGAAATTATTAGGGCTTAGGTCGGAGCTGGACGGAGGATGGTCTAATAATTCTATGTTTTCTTGCTCTAAGAACTCTTTTGTTCTGTGTCCGGTGTGAGAACTCGCATTGTCGTGATGGAGGATGATGCGGCGGTTGCAGTTCTCTTTACGTAATTCAGAAACGACCCGTGGCAAACAAATGCTAGCATACCATTCTGCATTAACCGTTCTCTGTCCCTCAAGAGGAATAGTCGTAACATGGCCGGTTTTAGAGACAAACGTGGCCACCATTTTTTTTGCAACACTCCGTGAACGAACAATTTTTGTTGGGTTTAACTCATTTTCGAACACCCAAACTCGTGACTGGTTATTTGTTTCGGGTTCGTACGCGTATATCCAGGATTCGTCACCTGATACGATGTTGTATACAGCATTTGAGGATCCTGCGTGGAATCTTTCGGGAGTTCTGACGCACCAAGTAACGCGAGCCGCTTTTTGCTCTTCACAGAGCGAATGCGGTATCCATCGGGAAAACAACTTTTTTACACCTAATTGTTCATGCAAGATTATTTGTGTTTGACTCATGCCAATATCTAAAGTTGCCTGAATTTCGCGGTATGTCACATGTCGATCTTCCTCAATCAGCTTACGCACAGCATCAACGTTTTCTTGGGTGACTGCAGTTTTTGGACGACCTTGACGGGGATCATCACTGAGCTTGACACGTCCACGTTGGAATTCAGCAAACCAGCGACAAATTGTGGTTTTCGATGGGCTTCATCAGCAAATGCAGAAATCATCCGGTCAACACACTGTTTTTGTGTTAAACCGCTTTGAAAGTCATAATAAATCATCGCTCTTGAATTTTCTCGAGTCAATTCCATTTTCTCAACGACTAAACAAGTTTGACAAAACCTTGTGACAAGACCGAGAATCTTTTTTTAAATAAATAAATGGTATTCGATTTTTAAAACCAAGAGGTTTTCAATTAAAAAGATTTTAATATGACAGGAACAGTGGAAATATTCCATTCCCGATACTTTTATTGCAGCCTATGTACACAAGGTCTCCGATGTATATGCCGTATGATGAAATGATTAAAAAAAATACATTAGCATCTTCGATAGATTAACGGCCAAATACTCATTCAATTTTAAGAGGTCATTAAGTCTCATGGTGTCACAGACACTTTGACTTGTACGAAATTTAACGGCACCTTAAAATTGATCAGCGTTTGAGTATTTGGGCATAAGCACCGCAAAATTTAATTCTTCGATTTCTTTACAGGGGTTGTGTTATACTTCACGCTGCCACGTCACGAGTTCGGACGTGTCCAGACGGTGCTGTTCCCCGTGTACTACGCCTTCAACGCCGTGGTCAGCCTGCTGGCTCTGCTCGCGTACTTCCGCACGCAATGTCTCACGCACTTCCAACACACGTCCTGGATACAGGTCAGTTTTTAGTTTTTTTTTTTGTAACATATTTAATTGCAGTCATAACGCCTTCAGGTACAGAACAACACGCTTCTGTACATCAGTTAATTGCTTTAATACGGCACGCACCGTCGTTATATTTATATGTTTACTAGCGATTCACCCCGCCTTCGCACGGATTTATGGATCTCGACCACCTACCGGGTCAATAGCACCACCTAACGGGTCCAAATCCGGTCCGGAGTCCGGATCTAAATCATCTAGGGATCTAAAAACTTCATCAAAGTCGGTCGCGCCGTTTTTGAGTTTTTTTTTTTTTATAGGAGAGGGGGCAAACGAGCATACGGCTCACCTGGTGGTAAGTGACAACCGCCGCTCATGAACAACTGCAACACCAAGGGAATAGTAGGTGCGTTGCCGGTCTTTTAAAAGGAGTAAGCTCTTTTCTTGAAGGTCCCTAAGTCGTATCGGTCCGGAAAAATCGCCGACGGTAAATTATTCCACAGATAAATCGTACGCGGAAGGAAAATCCTAGTGAAACGTACAGTGGTGGACCGCCAACCATCCAGATGGTGTGGATGGTATCGGGAGTTCTGCCTCGATGTGCGTTCGTGAAATTTGGCGGCTGGGATTAATCCGAACAATTCCTCAGAGCAATCCCCGTGGTAAGTGCGTTGGAAAATGCAAAGGGAAGCAACATCTCTTCGCAGCGCCAGTGAATCGAGCCAATCGGTAAGGACTCGGTCGTCGACGATTCGAGTCGCTCTGCGCTGAATTCGGTCAAGTGGAAGGAGCTGGCACTGGGGAGCCCCAACCCAGAGATGGGAACAGTACAACAGTTGCAGGCGGTATGCCTGCATGAAATACTGTCCCACTCTACCGAGCACGCCAAGCTTTTTAGAGGCCAATTTGGCCTACTCTTCCAAGTGACCACGAAACTGCACGTCACTCGATATGTCGACGCCGAGGATTTCGATACTGGCTGAGGCAACAAGGGGAGTGCCTTGAAACTGAGGAGATACGACAAAGTTTTAGCAAGGTTAACGGATATCAATTGTTTTTAATTTTTCAGGATAATATATTATTGATATTATGTTGCGTTGTGTAGTGTTGTCTTTGTCTATATGAAATGTTTTGCGCGCCATTAAATCAATCCGGATAAGTTACTTCTTTAATTATTATTGAGTATTTAACCTTAGTAAAAGCATATTTTATTTGTTGCTGTCTCAACAGCAATACAAATCGGATCTTACCTTGAATGGGAGCTTGAACACAGTGAACTTATGAAAGAGAAAATAATTAAAGATAACATAAGACACCGCACTTGAAGATTACACATTGACTTTATTATTAATTTAAATAAAAATGTACGTAAATTATGAAAATTGAGGTCATTTGAAAACATCGTACGAGTATAGCTCAATGGCTGGCCATTTATCTGAGTTTAAACAACTCGAGATAATACCATAAATAAGAGATAATCGAAATCTAAATTGTTTATAGCAAATTTTTGGTGACCGTGTTTTAACGTGATCGATGGTAAGGCAATATGGCGTGGGGAAACATGTAAGACATTAAAAATATTTCCAGGATATGTGAATCCTGGGAACATGTTTGTATGCTCATTTCTAAGAGTGTTGCATGTTTAGCACAGCAGTAGGAATGTGTAACTATGAGGTAATCGCTTGACTTTGATTACGTTGTGTTGTGTAAAACTTACACTGTGTAATTGTGTATATGTATCAGTATCGATTATAAGCTAACGTTTTTAATATCGTATTTCAGGTTAGAAAATATTATCATGGTGAAAAATCATAACGCAGTTGCGGAGTGATTTTTAACAGAGCTACACAGTAGTTGTAAATGTGAATTAAAATATAGATTGACTAGTACCTAGATAAAATTCAGAAATTTTTGATCGATATTTATCTCCGATACGGTACTTATTTGCATGCACTTGTGTCCCACAAGTGTATGCAAATAAAAATGACATTAACGGTTGCATTTAAAACGCGATCATAAATTGGCGCCACTGTTTCACCTTGCTCTTTTCACTGCGATTTATATATTGACCTTAATATTTATTAAAAAAATTAACAGTCAAATGCGTTAATCAAGCGGGCATTACCAAACATATTCTGCTGTTATTTCCGTTACTACAACGTCACAATAAAATAAGACTAAAATTGAAATATTGAGGAGAGATGAACTCAATGTCTAATGATTCTCGTGTTCAGTGCTCACATACAAAGGCAAACATTAAAAATGAACTTAATTATAATTGAAATTTCATTTTGATGTTTATTTATTACACGTGATAAAAGAAACTAAAAATAATGGTGCCTGGCGCCAAAAAGCCGTGTAGTTAATCTACTCGCAAATAGTTTTAATTGCATTATAATAATATCGTGACTACAAATCTTTTCACTGACCTCTATTTGAAGGCTATCGTTTTACAATTTTTTTTCTCACTAAGGAGTCACTAATTGTAATTAAATTATTATTGGATGCGTGTAATTTTGCCAATGCCTTTTTGACGCGCAAAAAGTAATTATTCGTTTTTAGAACAGCATCTTGTCAAGGTCTGAAGATGCTTGAAAGCTCAATAATAGTACTTTAAATATCAGTAGGTAACTCTTTCAAACATATATTTGATTAATGATTGCACAGGTAATTTTTATTACATTTATTTCCGTGTATATCAAGTTACATAAATGAAATAAAATTATTTCACGATCCTTGACACAAACACAAAACCCTTGACACTTTTCTGCCGACTTCCAAAAAGGAGACGGTACTCAATTCGACGCGTATGTTTTTTTTTATGTGTGTTACCTCATAACTTTTTACTGGGTGGACCGATTTTGATGATTCTTTTTTTACATAAAAGCTGATACTTCTTGTGTGGTCCCATATGAATTTGATCAAGGTCAGACTAATAGTTTTTTGAGTTATTTGAGTTATTCTTAATAACTTATATTGAAGTCGGCTGTACAAAATTTTTAATTTTATATTATTCTACATACGATTACTTTGTGAACTAAGCTACCAATAGCGGTTTTTTCGGAATGATACGATTTTGCGTATCTCTAAGAAAAGAGCTTACTCCTTTTTAAGAGGCCGGCAACGCACCTACAATTCTTTCTATCTCAGATACCACACAAAATCTTAGTTCTTAGGTTTTAAGGATCTTTTATGAAACATGACTACTTATATATCCTACGATTTTACGGATCAATAAGCTGAAGTGGCAATGGGCCGGGCATGTAGCTCGAACAACCGACAATCGACGGAAGGTAAGGAAAGGTTCTTGAGTAGCGTAGGGCGGTGTCCCACTAAATGGAGTAAGGACGTGGTAACACATTTAGAAAGTTTATGTATGTACGTGGCTAAGGACCGTGTTTTTACTGTGTTTCTTGGAGGTTACCTGTGTTCAGGAGTAAAAGCGTGAGGGACTGTAGGCCTCGTGGTTCCACCGATCAGCAGTGCGATTGTGTCACTCTGGTGGAAATCGTGCGTGACTTCGTTTTGACGTTTCGTTATTGTGTAAATATAACAATATCGATTTTGAATCCAATTTATTTATATCTGTATTGTAGGTTATAAAATAATTTCATAGATTTTAGGTTCATAATGAAAAAAAAATTACTCCCCAGTGATCCCCACCAGTTATACAAAAACGCACTGTTAATCGCATAATAAACCATATTTTACATTACTCTGTGGAATTAAATGTTTATTACATTGAGTATTGACACGAATTGCGATTTCAGATGTCTGTAGGTATTGGTAAGTTAGAACAAATACCGTCAACGTACAAAAAACAAATGCGTATTTATGTTACCAAATATTATTAATATTTTGTATCAAATAGTGAATAGAAAATAAAAGCTTATGCCATCCGTACAAACTTTCTGAACCAAAAAGTAATTTAAAACTTATTTAATAGATTGCCACAGTTTTTTAATTACAAAAAGTAGTTTATAATTAGTGTCAGGTTTAAACTTGAATCTGTTTTTTTTTTAATAGAATAAGGGGTAAAAACGAGCACAAAGTCCAACTGATATTAAGTGGATGCTGTGGCCCATGGACATCTATATTTATTATCGATTAACAATAAAAATGCAGATGCGTTGTCTAAGATAGAATGCCTCGTTTCCAGTAAAAAGGGTCTCCGGTTCTCTACACTCACCATAGGAAACACAGCATCATGGAGCTGCTATTTTACGCTGGTAAAGAGCGTGGTCCTACCCGTCGAGCCTACCCATTCGTGCTATAACCAAATAACTGCAGCATGGTTCTACCACGTATATGAATAGAATATAATAGAATAGAATAATTTTTATCTTAATTCTTATTGAAAGTCATTTTTTTACATTACCACTGGTTCGAAAACAGTCCTCTGTCCTGGGAAGAACCAGCAGGAAACCCAGCGGGACTTTTTTTTTAAATAAATTTTATAATATAAATGATTACAAACTATTAGGTACTATATAATATGTTTCACGAAAGAAGTCCCGCTGTAATATGAGAGCTAAAAATTTAAGTCTATGCATGGTATAGCAATGCTGCAGCTAGCTATATTAGAATTGTAGCACAAATAAGTCTGCTCGACTTGAAAATTACCACGCTTTCACAGAATACTAGCGTAAAATAGCAGCTTTATTTGTGTGTTTTTTAATTGAGCATAGTTGTAGATGTCTATGGGCCACAGCATCCACTTACAATCAGGTGGACTCACTTAAATTAAACTAATTTTACTGGTTTATGCCCTCCAACCCCGTGACATGAGAGTGCTGTAAAACACCTGAGACGTAAGGGAATTAAAAAGTTAAAATTAAACGCGACAAAATCCGTAAAGGCAGTTTAATTGAATTCGCGTAAATATAAGAAATCATTAGGTGGAATCACCAACCTTCAGGTGAACTATGTGTGCTCATGTCACCTTTATTCTATTAAAATAAAATAAAAATAAAGTATGAAATTTGACAGCAAATGTCAAATTTCGCGAAGACTGTGGCGCCAGTGCTAATAGATTCCTTCATAACGTAGTAAGTTATAACGTAACGAGGACGATACTAAGTCTATGAATTAGGAAGTCTCTATTTACATGTTTAAGCTGAAGTCTATCAAGACACCAATTTTTTGTTTATCTATAAGACGCGAAAACATCTGTCTATTAAAAAAAATTGGCTCTTAGAAAATAATTTTTACATTAATAATGATCTATGAATGTAAAAATAATATAATGAAACATTGGTACAATAGGGGTAATATAGGCAATAATAATATATAACAATTTAAATTTGCTTTTAATGTAATTTTATCATTGACATTTGCATGTGTGCTATAACTTCTTCTACTATTATTTATTCTGTACTATCCCTATTAAAGTCTGTGTTGCGCAGATAATAGCATCCGACTATTATGCGGATAGTAATTTGGTATATTTCCGTTGTTGCAGCTAGCACTCCTGCTAGCAGTGTTCAGTATAGAGGCTTACGTACGACTGTGCTTGGTGCAGCCGATGCTGCGCGCCAAGCACGTGAAGACGCAGATGGAGGAAGCGGCGGGAGGCGGCCAAGAGGTAACACTAACACCATCCTTATTTATTGACCCGTGAAAATTTACAGGTAGACATAGGCCTGTAGTCGGAATAGGGACTAACTCGACTTTCACTGCTTTGTTGGCCTAGTGGTTATAAACGAGATTGCTAACCATGAAGTCCCGGGTTTGAATCCCCGAGTCGGGCCAAAATTAGTTATTGGGATTTTCTGTCAAAAATTCTCGATAGCAGCCCGAAGCCAGGAAGTTGGCGGTGTTTCGACCTCGTGGCTCGGAAAGCACGTAAGGCTTTGGTCCTACACCTGATCTCCCGGGACGTGCCGTTCCTGTTAGATTGCCGTTCCATCGGACTATGAGAATGCAGAAATAGAGAGTAGGGCCTGTGCTTGCGTATACACTTTTTTAATAGGAGAGGGGGCAAACGAGCATGCGGCTCACCTGATAGTAAGTGACTCCCACCGCCCATGAACAACCGCAACACCAGGGGTATCGCAGATGCGTTGTCGGCCTTTTAAAAAGGAATAGGCTCTTTGGACATTATAATCTTGTCCTGCGCAGATGGCTAGTCTCCAGTTAGGACTGGCCGCTGGGACAGAAATTCGGTCTGGAGGACATTATTACGGACTAACATAACGTTTCCATGTGGATTCACGATCCCAATATCGGACCTCCCGCATCTTCGACGCTACCATTTGATCCGACTGTTTGGCCTGAATATTTTACGTCTGGTGTAAATGAGATGGTTATTTTACCACCGTCTATCGGAAGCCATAACATTTTTCTGGCATTTCTTATCGTCGTCTCTTATGACACTCACAGGGCAAAATGAGATTTTAGATTTATTTTAAATAAGTAATAATTTATTCAAAATATTGCATGTGTAAGACATTAAAAATAATTTCAAAGGTCATGTCAAATTCGCCAACTCGCACTGAGCACTCACCCTAAAACTCTCAAAAATTAAAGATGGTCTATGCTTATTTTTTATTTTTATTTTAAAAACTATTAATTAAAAAAGACAAATAGTCCATAAGGTCCGTATCAAATTATTTGCAATAATTTAGTTTAATTAATTTAGGCTATTATAATAATTATATAGACAGTGCAATCCGTAACCGTTTTTGTTTTCATTGAAATTCCTAAAAAGTTCTAAATTTAATGATAACCGATTGCATAATTTGTTAATAGTGCGTAACTTGCTTACTAACAATTTCGACCGTGAAATCTGTGTACACAATAGTTTGGATCGCGATTATGTGCCGACCTCGGCAAGGGCGTCCGGGCCCTGCAGCTAATGTGGTGCGTGACACCGACATTGATGAAGTGATCCAACGCAAACACATTCATGGTCACGGTTACGTCTTAAATAAAGTTCATGGGAACGCGGTAGTGTCGTAGAAAACATCCGTTGCCGCCTCTTTATCTATGACATAGAAATTAAAAGAGGAAATATGACAGATCTAATTAAATCACTGTGGGTTATGTGTAGCTAATATTTAAATAAATAAACTGCTAAAGCTAGAGCCTATCAAAAGTCCACTGCTATCCATAGGATGGACTAAATAAAATATTCGAGTCAATGGTCTCAAGGCTTATCTCAAATTTTAATCAATAATCATATTTATAATTATCATATCCCAAACTTGAGCTAATTCAATTACGATGTTATGATATTTACTGCTTTTCAGAAAAAAGTATATGGATATAAAACGCAAATAACACCCTCGCCACAAATATTAAAAATAATATGTTATAAGAAATAATAGGTGTTCGATTACTAATATAATTGATAAACATTTCGTTTCGCCAGCATTCTTGTGGCTTGTGATAATAAAAACACCTGTTGACATTTGCGTGTCAAAAATTATCACCTGTTACACGTGTCAGGCCATTGAACTCAACGATCATATTGTAACTATTTTTTATACTATTTTTATTTTTTTCTTTGAATAAGCATCTTCCACACTAGGATTGTTTCCTGTATCGTAGAGGCAGTAGACATAAAAAAGACATAAATAATAAAGACAAACATTCAGACCCGGAACAATTATATGTAGATCATTCAAATACTTGTTCCATGCCGGATTCAAACCCGCGACTCAACGCCTCAACTGTTTGCTACGTCACGGAGCCGTCAAAATGTCATAATGTTATTAAGATTTTCAAGAAAACTATTAGATATTAAGAATACATAAAAATACAATCATGATATACATAATCATCTCTTAGGCCTGTGAAAAAAAAAACCTTAATGTTATACCGTATCAATTTTGTAAACAAATTATAAAAATCAAAACATAAATAAAAAAAAAATCATAAAAACTCGGTAAAAGGTGTAAGAAATTAAATTAACCACTCCTAACTGAATTTAAGACCATCGGGCAACTTGATATCCTGACAACCTATTAATGAATTGAAAAAAACCTGAACAAATAAAACTTCTCCTGTTCATTCATACCGCCATCGTATCGTTTTTGAACTTTTTTCATCATCATTGAACGCCTAAGCGTTTGAAGAGGTTCGAATCCCGCACGGAATAAGTGTTTGTGTGGTTTACAAATAATTGTTTCGGGTCGGGTATTTGTTCATGTGTAATTTAGGTATGTATGTAATTACCCCATAATATCATCCCGTGGGTGCCGTAAGAGGCGATAAAGGGAAACAAATCAGGAGATGGGCAGTAGCGTCTTGTTAATAACGCCTAAAAATAAAAAAACTGCGGTTGCCCATCTGTTTTCCAAGCGTGACAACTATGGCACATAACCCCTATAAGGAAACCTAGGAGGCCTATGTTCAGCAGTGGGCTTTAATAAATTTAATAAAATGTTACTGTATAGGTACGTTTTAAAAAAAATCGCTCCAGAAGTCCAGTATAATGCTCCAAAGCACATTGAACACTGATTCAAATTATTTTGTAATAAAATATTACATTATTTTAATTATTTTGTACCTTGTTACAGGTCGGACGCTTAGTGCTGGGCGAGCTAGCTCACTGCCCCCGCTATCTCCGTGTCTTGAAGATGTTCCGCGCCTATCACTCCACCATAGCAATGGGCACTATGATAGCTCTCGGCTGCTCGTTTTACTCCACTATGATCCTCGTTGACTCCATGTGCCATTAGAAAAGAAGCAGCTATATAACATTGAGGGAAACTTATAATAAAAAAAATAAAGACCCAAAAAGTCACAACGTTTTATAATTTCCTTATCTGTGACGTTCATGCTATTTGTATCGTTTCGTGGATTCATGTTGTTTTTCGTAGTGTAAAAAGCAAGATGTAAATAAATTAATATCATTATAACAATTTTATCATCGATAGTTGTTCCATGGTCGTTAATGTAATATATTTGTATATCATTAAAATACAAATGAAACTTGTAACAAAAGAATTGCATAATATTAAATATTGGAGTATAAAATAACCGGAAATAAAATAAAATATTTCTATCTATCGTACACTTGCACACATAGGACTTTATGTTTTAAACTTAGGAATCTAATTTGTTTAGATTTCTGCACATGGTATTTGCTTCAATAAACTCTTGTTTATTCTGAATCATGTTGTCGTATTTCTTTATTAAAGTGTTTGTTTTTTTTATATATGTCATTATAAAACAAATTTTAAAAATATATACCTATAACGAAAGTGCTCGATTAGTAAAACTTATATCTATGTTAATGGTGCATTTCACAAATGTAATTATATATTTTACTATTTAGATCCAAACTCAGGCTGTGAAGTCTGTATTTGATATTATATTTTAGCTAGTTAGTGTTTTTTTTTTAAATAATTTATTGGTGAGAGTGATCAATATAACGCTGTTCGCATAATGTATTCCTCATGGAATACGTGCTTACATCGTTTGAAATTGTATTGTTGTGATAATAAAGATTTATCGATTATTAATGCACTCGAAAATAAAATAGATTATTTATAATAACTACTAGTTAGTCAAAATATGTTTGTCTCTTCGAATACGATATTTTAGGGCACATGCAATCTTGCCAATTGTATTCTTAAAATATCTAATATCGTTTAGCAGCCCTTAACAATTGAAACTGAACTCAAAAGCTGCCGATAAATTCAAGTAGTCTGTTTTCCTTATTCCTACAGGAATGCCATAAAGTTAGTGTTAAATAGATAGGAGTTAAGATTTTTTATCGATAGTTCTTAATCGTTCTAAAACAAGAATTTACGAAACTAACAATGCTTGTTGTTTTAATACTAGCATATTCGAAGAAACCAAAGGTTTTATAAATGTCATTAATCACCCTGAACACTGTTTAATAAATTGAAAATTGCCAAGTGCCGGCCGTCGTTGATTGCAGTCGGTGATTGTTAATAGTTTTATTTTATTGTTGTGCAGCAAGATCTAGTCAGCAATAAATCGATTGTGCTCGTAAAGTCGTGGTAAATTGCATTACGTTCCGATGAAGTTGGACCTTACACTCCTTTTGATCATCATTATCTGCGATGTGCAGTCAAGCAGCTTGCCAATACGGCCGGAACTGTAAAAAAATATGTTAGCTGTTATAAATTGTATTGTATTATATGATTGTAACAATATTTAATCATTAGTTAGGTTTTTTTTACTACAATGATCTGAATGCTATCGTGTAAGATATCGTTATTTATTCGAGAGAATGATTAAAATGTCAGAAGTGTGAAATAAACGTTCTAAAATAATTTGAATATTTACCTTCATTTTTGATTTTTATTCAACCCACTACATATATTTATCAATTTTTCACAAAATGTATCAACCCATTTCAACCCATGAGTGTCGTAAGCTCGTAAGCAACTATGTGAAATGCTATTAAAATCTAATGGCTTCCGATTTCTATAAAATACTCAGACCGGCTATAGTCAAATGATCCGTGCCAAGCGTGACGATTGAGCCAATTACTCCCTATAACAGGAGAGGTACATGTCCAACTTTTACGGGCTAATGATAAAGAGGAAGAATCACAGATAAGTCAAGTAAGTTTTGGGCTTGGACTCGGACTCCGCTCATGCACTGTGCGTGTGTGAAATTGAATATTTTGAACGGTTTGAATGAAACAGTATTCAATAAAGATTTTATTGAAAATATTCAGATATGCCTAGCTTTTAAGGATGAATTAAGAAAAAATTTCAATCAAAGTGACTAAACTTTAAACTAATTAGCCTTCGAGGCTACCATTGCTCCCAAAGAATATAAATATTGGTAAATTTTAGCCTGGTTAGCACTCAGCGACCCTGCTGCCTGACAGACGAGGCTCTCTCTGGGTCCATTGAGAACGTATAATCCATCCAAATCGCGAGGTTATCGGCTTTGCCACAGACAACATAATTGAGTATTTGAAGTGTTATTAGGAAAACGCTGTTTCCCATACCCCGGTTTGTTTCCCTCTGCCGCCTCTTACGACACCCTCGTGACGATATGGGACAGTGGATTTTCTTATACTGCCTGCTTCCATGTTTTTTTATCCGTTAAGGTGGCTTGAGATACTACCGCCATCAACTGTTCACTAGGTTTCGCTGTCATCAAAATCTCCCAAGGACTTCGCAATGTGACGCATCAGCATATTGTGAAGAGTGTTTGTAAACAAAATTATACAAATCATGTAGGCTGTATGGTATAAGATCATTGCCTGTATGACATGGCGAATCGTAGCAAAAACAATCTATGCTTCAGGGAGTTTTGGCGGAAATTAGAGCACTGGCGGTTTATTACTCCTATTTTATCATAAAAATAATAGTTTTAAGTGATTTGGCACATGGAAGTGGTCTGATTTTGTGTATTAAATGTCTGTGCATGTGTACTATTAGTGGAAACGATATAACTTATCGCCATCAACTGTGCGTGGCGTTAAGTTCGTCGTTAATCGTCAAAATCTTCCATAAGAACATCGCAATGATGACACATTATGATTACAAATCAGACTAGGCTGTATGGTTTAAGAATTTTGCTTGCTTTTTGAATTTAACAACAACTACACTATGGCTTACAGCTGATATGTGTCAAAAATGACCTTACGTGTTTGTATTCTATTTGTGTTTGAATATCTTTTTTCAATATCTAAACGATGATATTTGAATTATGTATACTGTCTAACGCAAAGATTGCTATGATAAGGTGGCTGCTTGCACCTCTTAGTAATCATGTTTTTGATAAATAGACCGCAGGAAAGTGTAACGATGAAGTGCGTTCAGAGGAGTAATTTACACACGAAAATGATTTTAGATCGGTGTAGAACAGTGATAATATTGTCAAGTGTTGTGTGTACGCTCGCAGTGGTCATATCGCTTCACAGGTTGCTTAGCTATGAAATTAAACTTATTAAACCTTTCTCTCCGATCCCCGCGGGTTTATATGGCAATTACTTAGAGCCTATCGTTGATGAATCCCCTCCTACTGTTTTAAAAGGTGTTGATAAGGCTCGTGATGCAGAAGCAGTAGGATCACTTAATGCTGCATTAGAAATGAAGAAAAACGGTAAGACTGATAAAGCATTAAAACTCTTCCAACACGCCTTTGCACTTTCCCCAAAACATGCAGACATTTTAAATCATTTTGGCGAATTTTTAGAGGATACAAAGAAAGATGTTGTTAAGGCTGATCAGTTGTATACTTTAGCATTATCGAATTTTCCTGACCATACAGACGCTTTAGTAAATAGGCAGCGCACTGCAAGTATTGTTGAAAACATGGACAGAGAAATGCTACGAAAAATTGACGAGAAACGAGATGCTCTACTGTCAATACCAGAAAACAATTCTGCATTAATGAGAGCCAAGAAAGAAGCATACTTTCAACACATTTACCATACAGTTGGTATAGAAGGCAATACCATGAGCTTGCAACAAACTCGAAGTATTTTAGAAACAAGAATAGCGGTGGCAGGGAAGAGTATAGATGAACATAATGAGATTTTAGGTTTAGATGCAGCTATGAAATACATAAATTCCACATTACTTTACCGTTTAAGAGACATCACCATGGGAGATATTCTTGAGATACATAAAAGAGTCCTAGGACATGTGGACCCGGTAGAAGGTGGTCATTTTAGGAGAACTCAGGTGTATGTCGGTGGTCATATACCACCAGGGCCTTCTGAAATTCAACAACTAATGACACAGTTCCTTGATTGGTTAAATTCTGAAGATGCAATGGACTTGCATCCAGTTAGGTGAGTATTTAAAAAATAATTTAAAAGAATGTTTAATCATTTTATCATCATCATCATCATTACAACCCATTACGTCTACTGCTGAACATAAGCCGCTCTCAAAGAATGCCCCTAAGCATGTTCCTGAATCCTGACGCACCTGCATATTGACTTAGCAGATTGTCACACCATCTAGTAGGGGGTTGTCCTACCAGGCTTTATTAAACGGTATGAGGCTGCCAGTAGAGAACATTTAAAAAAAATTAAAATAATATACCAAACAAAAAATTATGCCCCTGGCATACTAACATCTATACAAATAAATAATTGAAGTCTCTGTTTGTAGTGTCAAAATAACAGCTTTTTACTAAATGCATATGAAAGTACTTATAACAAAAACACAATTTTTAAATTTTATGTCTGTCTGTTTGTTCCGGCTAATCTCCGAAATGCCTAGACTGATTTTGACGGGACTTTCACCGGCGGATAGCTGATGTTACAAGGAGTAACATAGGTTACTTTTATTTTCGAAAAATAGTTAAGGTTCCACACAAAAAATAAAATCCATGAAATCCAATCGTAATAAATTATTACACGCGGGCGTAGTCGCGGGGAACAACTAGTAACAAATAATTATTATGTCATCATGTTACAAAGATTTGTGTCATTTTGAAGCTGTCGTATCTTTTTCTTATAGATCTCTTCATGTAGAACGCTTTAAAAAAATCACATTGAGCAGCCTCATAGTTTTGTTATTAGATATGTTAGGTTGTTGTTAGATATATTATTTTACCACAAATAATGTACAAATTTCACTCCTAGGTTGTTCCGTTTTATGTTCAGATAAGGTGACAGTGGAGTTTAATGGTTTTTAATTTATATATTACAAGTTTCTAACTTTAATTCATTTATAAATAGCTGCTAATATATTAAACGCAATTATGAACTAAAAATATAATAAATGAAATTAAAAATAATAAAGATTTATTTGTACTTTTAAGAGACCACACATAACAAAACGCAATTGAATGTAGAACACAGTCAACTGCATCTATTGTACTCCTGTTAGCAACAATGATTGATTGACAATATGGCGTCCCCGTTCTCGTATTCTGCTGCGTCTTCTCAAAGTCCTGAAGTGTTGGACTATAGTAAGCCCCTTGTGTGCGCTACACCAAGGATTGAGGCTTCGAGTGTTGGACGCTCATGAGCCATTTGTACCCACAGGTACCCCATTTCTCCCATTCCTGGAAGTTCCATTGATGTAAACATGCCACTGGCCGGAACTTAAAGGCTTGAATAGGTGGTACCATAAAACCAATGAAGAAAACCAACAAATCAGGAGATGGATAGCAATGTTTTCTTAATAACGACTAAAAATAAAAAACAGTGGTTGCCACTCCACGGGGAGGCCTATGTTCAACAGTGCACATTTGATAGTCTGTAACCACTATAATGGTAGAAAAATTATTAAATGCGTAATTTACAGGTATGCAGCCCTAGCACATTACAAGTTGGTGTACATCCACCCGTTTGTGGACGGCAACGGCCGGACTTCACGCTTACTGATGAACCTGTTGCTGATGCAGGCGGGCTTTCCGCCAGTGATCATCACCAAGCAGCATCGCCATCTCTATTACCAGCATTTACAGACTGCCAATGAAGGCGACGTGAGACCCTTTGTCAGGTAGGTTTAGTTAACACTGTCTACCCTCCTGACCGGTTGTGATTACAGCAACATCTTCCGAAGAGTTGAAAGCCGTACCGCGCACTAAATTCCTCTTAATATTACTTCTTTGACTTCCTGACGGCGTTTCGTTGTCGAAAACGGAATATTTACCGACGAAACATATATCTCAACACTTAGAAAAATATTTTAAAAGATTTGAGAGATCTCGCTACCACACTCAATTTCAACGGGTACTCATATTAATTTGACATCGAATTTGACAGCTAAAATGAGTTAAGGAATATTTCAGTATGCCGGTTTTTAATTAAGTGGTGTTTAAGCGCAACTCAATTTGAGACACACATTAAGAGATGCTTAAAATTTGCATTTGAGAATACGAATATAGGGTTTTCGAGTTGCTCAAACCGTTGAAAAGATGTTAAAAATTTAAGGGTCGTTTCTGTATTCGGGCATAAGAGTGTAATTGGACGTAGTTATACAAAAATGTTCCAACCCACAAGTCATTCAAAAATGAGTTGAATATACAGATCTACTTATTTTGACATCTTCGCGAAGATGTCAAAATAAGTAGATCTGTATATTTAACTCATTTTTGATTGTCACTCCCATGACTGACTTGACATTGGCAGAATTCTTTTAAGAGAATCCAAAAAGTAAAGAAGAACTCATTTTTGAATGACTTGTGGGTTGGAACGTTTTTGTATAACTACGTCCAATTCATCTTTACACTCTCACTGCCTAGTTTTGGTGACGGTAAAATCCTTCAAATACGTGGTAGAGCCTCGCCGCAGCTATATTATCGCTGCAGCAAAATGCTTGTGCCATGCTCTGTTAATTAAACAAAAAAATATTGAATAAAAA